CATGAAGGCTCCAGAAGGCTCCAGCGCAACTCTTTGTCGGTCGTTTGGTTCTATGTCCTCTTCGGAAAGATCCGGTAATTGCGTTGGAACCCAGAAGGAGCTAAGGCAGTGAATGCCGGCTGTGGAGTGGCTCTCGAAAGTTGAAATGCCTGGGACATGAGGAGGTGCCCATAGGCCCCATAGTAGTTCCTTCTTGGGGTTTATATTTAGGATCCTTTCAGGTAATCCCCAAAAGGAACTACTATGGGGCCCATGGGTGAGGATGACGTTGGAGATTGCTAGAGGCGGGCTCGTTGGAAAGTGCATGTGTCTGTGCGTGTGTGCTGTAGACCGTCGGTCCAACCACCCCCTAAACCCTAAACCCTAAACCCTAAAACCCTAAACCCTAAACCCTAAACCCTAAACCAGGACTCCTTGCACGGCACAGCGCTGGCGACCCCAGAGCGCTGCTGAGGTGATCTGCACACCGGTTTGATAGGGCGAATGCCCTAAACTTAGACCCTGATTGGCTAGAGCTCGACTCGCAAAGCATCCTAAAGCCCCAAACTCTTTGCCCCCACAACCTAAATCCCCAAAATAGGGTTTATGCTGTGGCGGGAGCTCTTCCAGCACGACACTCCGCCTCTCCCCCCCCCGCGATGCGAGCTCAAAGCCCCGAAAAGATGACAAGACACAACAGAGTAGACCGGAATCGAGTTGGAATTTCAGCTAGAAGTAGACACCGAGTTCGAAGTTTGAAGCAGAGAGCGTAGAATAGGATAGAACCACAGGCTAGAAGAGGATTATACTGGAATAGAATAGACTAACCTGTCTCATACTCTTTTATCAAAATGACATCGAAACCCCGTTGAACCCATTGATTAGGGAACGGATTCGAAAAGTTGTAGGGCCTAGGACCGTGCTGGGTTTTATGGGCAGGTAGCCCTTGAAAGACGCACCTGATAAGAGCTTAGGGTTTGGGGTTTAGGGTTTAGGGGTTTAGAGTCTAGGGCAGGGGAGCTCTTGGCCTCATCGCAAGCATAGTTCGGCGGTGCTCCCGGCTCCCTCGCCTGAAATCCTTGGCTCGGTTACTGCAGGGTTGGGTGGAGGTTCGGGTTCAGGAGCCTTCGGGATCCAAGTAAAAAACATAATTTACACGGTTTAGGGTTTAGGGTTTAGGGTTTACGGGTTCAGGAGGTTTCGGGATCCAAGTGGGCTCAAGGAGAGTTTAAGTAGGCGTGCTTTCAGCGTTCGCACGTGGGTGCGTCTGCAGACCCTCTGCGGGGTAGTCGGGGTGGGGTCGGCACATGGCGGTTGATCCAAATTATGGGCCCCTTTTGGTCCCCATAACTATAAGGAATATACTAGAATACAGACCCCAAGAGGGCCCATAATTTGTTCATAAACCCCACATGAGCTGAAGCCCGAGAAGGCCCGACCCTGAACCCCAGCACTCCAAACCCCAACGACTCCGAGAACAGGCAGAGCCGCGGTAGGTCCCCGCAATGCCAGATCCATTCACAGAAACTTCCAGCAGCGTCGGCCAGTCTCCTGTTTTTTTAACCCCTAAAACCCACAACCCTAAACCTTAACCCCGGAACCCCAAAACCCTAAACCACGCCAAACCTAAAACTCTAAACCCTGGGCTTCTTTGTGTTAGCGCCGGCTTGGATCTCGGAGTGGTCGAACGAGTGCCGGAGTTGGTTCGCTGGGTTTCGAGAGCCGGTTCCCACACATTCTGTGCGGGATGCGCTGGAGGGAGATTTAGGGTTTAGGGTTTAGGGGTTAGGGTTTAGGGGTTCAGCGTTTTTCAGCCGAAACATGCATTGGGAGTAGCAACTGCAATGTTAGCGCACGCTGTCAGTGAACTGCAATGTTTTGTCAGTTCTTCCCTGCCTGCCTCCCTTCTACGCTTGCAGTCCAGCCTCCTCTGATTGCAATGCCCTTGTCAACCTCTCTTCCTAACATGCATCACTCCTCGACGAAATCACATGTCCCCTGCCGATAGAAAAAACGTAGCTAACTAGTCTACGCATTCGCCCTAAAAGTTGCACTATGTTACCACAAACCATTTTAGCATATATTAGCTGCCCTCTGAAAGTATGTTACACCACAGTTTAGAGTACCCTATGAAAGTACCCATAGGCCCCATAGTAGTTCCTTTTGGGGGTTCATATTTAGAATCCTATAAGGTAATCCTAAGGAACTACTATAGGGCAGGGCCTATGGATATATCATACAAAGAGTACAGGAAGCCATATGCAGCACTGGTCCTTGAGCCAGGATCCCAAGCCCTCCGTCTCTCTTACGAGCCTAAACCCGAAACCACTAGGATGGCTTGTCCATTGTAGTTCCTTTTTTGGAGATCCTAAATATAAACCACAAGAAGAACTATAATGGAGCCTAGAGGTAACCCTAAACCCTATACCCTAAACCCCAAACCCCCCGGTGTCCTAAACCCTATACACTCTTCTACGTACCGCTGCCGCGGTCCTGGCGGAACCTCACAGCTCTTCCTCTTTCGAAGCCAGCCAGGCACAAACTCCTGGGGGTTGGGGCCATTTTGTATGATATTAATCTTTAATCCTTGGTTTTGAATACTATGAATCGTATACATATAATGCTTATTACGGATACTAATTAGCAAAATGTAGTTAGCATTTGTTGCTTGGAGGGTGGTGGTGGAGGCCGTAGCTTTCAGAATTCTTCGGGGTTTATTGCTTTAGGGCTTCGGGAGTTTGGGGTTCAGGGTTTTATGCTCTCACACTCCGCGTCGCCAGGTGAGGTATTGCTCTGCGGGTCGGCTGATGAGACAAGGTATATACAGGCGGCCCCACACAGTGACGCAACCCCCAACGCACGATGTAGGGGCCTTAATAATTAGAATAGGGTGTTGGGGTATACTCTACTATAAGTATAAATACTGAACCCCCCAAAATAGTATTGGTAATTATTGCGGCCCCTATATTCGAGTGTAGGGGTTTAGGGCTAGGGTTTAGAGGTGTGGCAACTGTAAGAAGCTTCCACAAAGTTGGGAACTCAGTATCCTGAACTCCTGTGTGTAAGGTGCAATGTAGTGAGTGACAGGACTTTTCATGTCGGTTGCATCCCAGCCTTCCGGGACTTACAATATCGAAGGATCAGGCCGTAGGTCTGTGGGTTGGCTGTGGCGTGGTCGTGAACGGCAGGGGCATGTTCAGCGTTGGGCGTTGGCTTGAACTAGAATGTCAAACCGCTGGTCCTGCATACCAGCTTCCATTCAAGTGACTGGTGGAACTTTGGTGTTGTCGGAAGTCCGGCGAAACATGAAAATAACCGGGGAAGCCATCATCGGCTGGAGAACCAAAGCACATTCACAGCAACACGCGCAGTTCCTAAATCCTAACAGCCTTTATTATCAAGGCCCCGAATCAAGCTTTCAGCCAAGTCTGATGTGCAGCCAAAAATAAGGTAACTCATTGGATTCTTACGCTCATGTCGGTTTCAACTGGATCAAGTCAGTGTGTGGGCCAGCGCACGAGGTCGGCAACTATGGCGGTTCCGGGGCTCTCGCTGGGGTGCCCTCCACAAGCGACAGCAAATGTCAGTGCAAAGTCACTTGGTTTATACGCGTCCCAGCTTGAGTGCTCCCCACCACGGTGCCGCGCGCATGGAACATCGTCTCACACTCGCTACAGTCCTGGCATAGCTACATTCGGCTGATCGCGGTTCCCAGGCTGTTGAAGCTTTGCCCGTCGGCTTGGGCCCGCGACAATCTCGTGCACTTCTCCACCAAAGTCAGGCTGCTGCCACGACGCTCTGTGTGTGTGTGTTCTGGGGCGCCAGTCGTGCTACCAGCAAAGCGTGGTCTACATGTTGGACTCATGGGGTGGTCTTGTGAGCTTGATGGGTGCTCCTGGCATCGTCCGGCCGTCGGCATTGTGATTTTGGTTGCCGTCATTGTTGCAGCTGCTGTGGCTGTTGCAATTGTCGCTTTCGTAGTCACGGTGGCGATACCAGCAGCACCAGCAGGTGAAGCAGCAGCAACAGCAGCCTCCATCGGACATACCAGGTACCATATTTTAGGAACTGTCGGTACTAAGAACCCGGCAGAAGCCTTCACAGCATCAATGCCGAGTCTCATGGGTGCAAACTGCATGCAGCGAAGCCAACCAGTCGCCCTCGCCAACCCCCATGGCGTGGCCGCGACCCACATCTTGTGGGGTTCTGGGGGGTAGCCAAATGTCGGGTTCATGATGGCTTTCGGGTTACAGCTTTTGGGAGTGAGTGCGGGTCTGGTAATACCGTAATAGCTCAATGTCCGTCAAAAGTCGATACCTATGGATATACACACTTCCGTGCATCACATGAATCTCAGCCCTCTTGAAAGAAAAAAGGACCGGCCCTCTTGAAAGAAAAAAGGACCGGCCGTGTGACCACTCCTGTAAATCTCAATATCAGAAGTAAGAGAACTACCAATTTTTACAGCATTACGTTGTTATTGGAGAAACTGTGGCAGCAGCGGTTGTTGTGAAAGCAGCAGCGGAAGCAGCAGAAGGAGTGGAAGCAGGAACAGTAGTAGACGTAGAGTGATAGTAGACGTAGAGTGATAGTAGTAGTTACAGTAGTAGTAGTAGTAGTAG